TTAGAACATGTAGCGAGGATCAAAATCGTAAAGGGACATTAATTTGCAAGGCAGAATCAGAAACTCATGTCATTTGCGCACAAGAGTTTTATTAACTAAACACTAACACAAACTAGTCAAACAAACAGACATGCATACATACACTCACGCGTACATACAAAAGGCGAGCAAAGTGGATGAAAGAGATCATTAGAAGAACAGGGAATGAAGCTATGGAAAATTAGTCAGTTAACCACCTGAGTGAAACCATCAGCGCCGTTTTAGAACGGGGTTTACAAAAATGTGAGGGGTGTACTTCTGTGAGATACTGTAGATGCTGAATTGTGATTAGCCTTTTCTTTCTAGCATTTATTAATATATAGTTGTCAACTGTCAGACAACTGCCTGCTGTATTCTTTCTTTTGAAGCAGATAGGTCTTCATAATAATACTCTTGCACTCTTAACATTATTAGATATGCTTGTAGAAGCAAGAGCTCAATAAGACTATCTCTGCCCACAGCTCTCCATAACACTTCCTTCTATTGCACGCGTCCCTTGCTGAGTCAGTGGGATTTCAGACACCTCACTGATCTGTGTGGCTAATCGCTTGCTGGCCGTGTGCGCTCAGACAAGAGACTTTGCTTTGGCCAGTGGCTCTTCATGTGAACTGACACTAATGCCGCTAGGGAGCTACTGCTGATATAAGCCACAGCTTCTACTCAGAGTTTGGCTGCTCTGGAGTGGTCTTGTGGGACGTCAAACGGTTTACTTTGGGTTCAGCTTGCTGTCTTGTTGGCCTGAGCATTGTGGCTCATTGAATGCTGTATATGTGTGTCTATTATTAGGCGAAGAGCCAAACCTCAGTGTGATTTCATTGTAGACAAAAGTATTTCATGTGGGTTGATACTGACCACAAGTCTTTTGTGGAAAACTTTGATTTGTAACAAGATTTAGTCAACAGGAGTGTTGCCATCATTTCTTGAATTTTCTCCCTTCATAACAGTGTTATTTTAGTATCATTGAGATAATATTATTTTGAATTTATTTCTTTATGTATTTTCCATTTTCTTTATTTTTTTAAAGTTTTAGTAATTTTCTTATGTTTTTTTTTATAATTTCTATTAGCTTTTTTACACACACACACACACACACACACACACATATATATATATATATATATATATATATATAATTTAAAGCTTTTTATACAATCCGCGTTCCCCCATGCCAGCCGATCAAAAATCAGAAAGAGATAAATAAAATAAATAAATCAGAGAAAAATAATATATAGTGTTTATAGTTTTTATTAATTACTTATAGTAGTTAATATAAGTAATATAATACTTATAGTTAATTATCATTTTTATTAATTATGGTTTTAGTTTTAGTTAGTTTAGTACATTGTTAAACTAAATTAAATTGAGAAATGTTGCGTTGGCAACCAGATGAATAACAATTTATTTTATTTTTTTCAGTTAATGTTTATTTTATTTCAAGTAACACATTTTTTTTTTTTAGCAGCTATAACCCTGCTTCATAAGTTGAGCCAAAGACTATTTATGGGACCTTCAAGCTTTAATCTTCGTCCTGTGATGTTTCGAAGCGCAAATCGCCTTTGTGCATTTGGAAAAAGTCGGTATAACTGTTTAAAACCAAATTTAACTGGTTTTGCTCAGAAGCCTTGAGACTGGTCAGTCTGTTGTTCCCACATGCGCAGTTGTATTAAAGGCACCCACGTAAAGTCTCAGAAGAAATTAAAGCAGATTTGAAGTCTCAGCAGCACAAGGTAACGTAACATGATGGATGTTTTCTGGAGAGTGTCAGTATTTGCCTGTGGAAAATGTTGAAGTGTGGCTGAGGAGATTACAGTAGATTGTTCTGAACAATCGAAACCATGCGCCTTTCTTCCAAATCGTGTTTGTTTTTAGTCACTCTGTGGAGAATGACTAACAGCCCTCCGGTGACAGCAGGAACACAACGAGGTTGCTCTCACTTTGTTGTTCTTGAGGACATACAGGTAACTGATTGTCAACAGCTCTAGCATCATCTAAGCATGGTAAGCTTTATTTCTTGGAGCGCATTGGTGGTTTAGACCCTATTATCATGTGCAGACTCTTATGTTCTCGTTAGTTGGTTGGAACAGATCTAAGATGGACAAAAAGACTCAAGGATATTGAATAATTTGAATGACTTGGGTCATTGCTGTTATCCATTTGAACTCTGTAACTTCAGTCATCAGCCACTCATCAGACTTGGGCTACACTAATAATCGAGATAAAACCAAAAATGCGATATGGCTTAGTGCAATTATCAAATTGAAAAGGCTGCGATTGAATTAGAGAAATATATGTGCCGTGTATTTAAGAGTGTTCTTACACAAGCAGCTTATTATCTATCTAAAATTATTAATTATACATTTCTTAAATACAGTAGTGATATTTATTTTTTATTGATGTATTTTTATTTAGTATTAAATATTATTATTATTATTGTTGTTGTTGTTGTTATTTTATAGCCAGATTAATTTATAATCATAAAATTCTGGCTAAATTGTGAAGCCCTTCAAACAAGCAAAGCAAATGTGGAGTATTTTAAGTTGTAAATTTTATCAGAAAAATCGCAATTCGATTTTTTTCCCCCTAATTGTGCAGCTTTGACATTGCAACAATTTGGTTTTTGTGCGATATGAAATAAATGCAGGAATTTTCTAAAGATGACTTGAATAGCTATATTCTGAACAAATTAATTCTAGAATGATCTGGGGTAATTTTGTAGATAAATGTTTAGAAAATACAAATAATTTGTAATCTGAAAAATTTTTACTCCAAAAAAAAAAAAAATCTATTTCCACTTGAGTTTTCATAGGACACATGCAGCTGTGTGCAGCTCATTTTTAAAAACCAAAAACTCTCGCTGTAATACTGTATCATAAGCTACACACTTGTAAATCAACACAGTGCTTTGCTTTTCTCTGAAAACAGCCATGCATATACATTTGAATCTCAGTCTTTGTGGTTTGAATATTGCTTTAAGTCATGACAATATCAGTTTAATTTCGATGTAATGTTCAGCCTCCACAACTTGCTGAAGACCTGAATGAGTTTTACTGTAGATTTGAAACTCCCAGTCTAACACCCCACACCCGCTCTGAACATCTCTCCACACAACCATCAACACCTCCTGCAACCCCCCTCAAGCTCTTTCTGATTCTTTCTGATTCTGGTTCTGATATCAGACCCAGATAAAGTCCTACAGTAAATTGACAGTGGCAAAATAATTTTAGTCTCTAGTCACTAAAGCATGTGTGTCATACAAAAAAACTGCTATGGTACTTAATGTGCACCATGGTATGCATGTATACACCATATGAATGCATTATCTGGCAGAAATTCTCCTTGTGTAATGTAGCGTGTGAGATGGTGTGGTACTACTGTCTGATGGCAGGAAACACAGGTTTAGATGAAGGAATTTAAATGGAAAAGGTTTGTTGTGTCTTATATTTTGGGTAATTTCTTTTTGTGTTATGGTTATATTGCTTGTGGGAAACAAGTAGATTTTGTGAATTAGCAAAAAAAAAAAAAAAAAAAGACCATTTGTCAATTCATGAAATGGTTGCATGGAATTAATTACAGTGAATGTTTTGTTTGTTTGTTTGTGTATGTATTGAGCAAATGCAAGCACTCCATTAAGGTGCAGCTAATGAGATTGTTTTTGACTTGAGATTATTTGCTTGTGTCATTGCAATAAGTGCAGCAATGAGCTTTAAAGCCTCTAGTGTTTGCATTTGTTTGACATTATATCATGATTTCCATTTCATTTAGAAAGAGATTAATTACTGTCTCATTTCGAAGGCTGCGCCCTGCGAAAGTCGCAATTGTCGGCCGCGTACGTCATTGAGGATGTCTCATATCAGAAAAAAGCAACCATTATAAAATTGACTGTTATTGTTTATGAGGCATAAATTATTGTCATTTCTTTCTTATTTTGGAATTTAATAGCTACTGATCTAAAATGAGAAGACCTCTTACGTATGCAGCTAGGAAATATGACAGCCTTCAAAATGTTCTGTGACTGTAACTAATGCTTTTGACCATGACTCCCTCTAGTGATTGTTTAAAGACGCTGTTAGCAATGGCCGAATTTGTCACTTCATAATAGCAGATGACTGTCACTATACTAAAGAAATGTTTAATTTATTTTAATTTTTTTATTATAATTTGTTTTTATTTGTTTGGATGTTATTTTGAACTCTTTGTCTTCATCTTATGTGTTCTCCCTCCAGCCCGAGTCATCATCCACAACTGTCCGAGTGCCACAGAGGGAGGAAGAGGAGGAAGGTGACCTGAATAAAGCGTTAGGAGTTCAACGCTTCCAGCAGATCCTGAGCCCCACTCCCAGAGTTCGCAGCGAGCAGCACCGCACATACAATGAGGAAGACTTTGAATGTAAGTTTGCATCCCCTGTAATTATTTTATTTTAAATATTTATTATTTTATTTTTTCACATTTTATTTTTTTATTTTATTTTATACTTTAATTTTTTCTTATTTTCTTTTCTTTTGCATTAAAAAAAATGAAAAATCAAATTTTTTTCTGACAACTTTGAAAATGATTATACACACACACACACACATATATATATATATATATATGCACACATCATTTTTATATATGCATACATTTTAAGTAGAGCTAGTGTTATAGTATCATTAATATACTTTATTATAGATTTTTGTAAATATTTAAATTAGATTTTCTGTTTTCACTTTAATTTTAGATTAGTTTTAATAATTTAGCTGTTTTTGTGTTTTTTTTATGTCTATATAGTTTTTATTCATTTTTATTTATTAGTTTTAGTTTATTTAGCTTTATTTATTATAGTACTACAACGAAAATTAGACATTTTGCCTTAAAATTATTTTTTTATTTTATTTAGGTTAACTATTATTTTATTTCAAGTAATGACAATGTTTTATTATGGTTTTAGTTAAATATATCAGCCCTAGGAGGATCCAGCAATAGAACAATAATAATATACAATAGTATTAGCAATTGTACAAATAAAAATATCATCTTTTAGGAGCACATTTGACAAGATGTTTCAATTTATACCTTGATTACACAATTTCAAAACATAATTTTACAACTCTAGAGCCCTGATAAATGTTGAAAGCCATAAATGTGAAAATGCAGAACCGAAACTCTATAGCTGTAATCTTCTCCAGATCACCGTCACTCGTCCCATCACATCCACCACCCCCTGTCCAAACTCCCAGGAGACGGCAGGAGGAAGAAGAGTGGGAGGAAGAGGAGACGGAGCAGCAGTAAGGACCACAGAGTGTGTTCCAGCCCCAGCGGTGCTTTAGCCATCGAAGAGGGTGAAGATGAGGAGGAGGAGGAAGATGAAGAAGCTACGGAGGTCCAGAGCGTCACCCCAGCGCTCACAACAGAGAGAAAAGACAGTGTTCAGGTAACCTCGTTTATGTCCACAGTTCAACATTTAATTTAATGTTTTAATTTGTATGAAATATAACTCTTTTTTTAATAATACAAACTCAAGTTCTAAGTGCTTGTTGACTATTTTTGAATTACTAGCTATAATAGATTTGGATTGTTTCTCTCATTTGATCTCTTGTCCAGTTCTTCGTGTCAGATGACGAGCCTCATGTATCCACACCCGAGACTTCAGAACCTCTTCCTGCGCGAGAAATCCTGATCGTCCCCTCGTCTGCTGTATGTGCAGAGCCTCAGGACAGCACATCCACTGAGTGAGTCCATCTACTGCGGTGCTTTAGCTTTGTTATATATGCTGATTGATTATGTCATTATATAATTACTTGGAGGCAAAGCTTTGACACGTTGCACACCATTCACCTACATAGTTCATAATCACAGTTCATATTTAGTAGTTATTGTTACTACAGTAGAAGTAAAAAAGACAAATATTTGGTGTTAATGGAAATCCAATATTAATGTCTTTTCATTATGTGTAATGTGTGATGATTTTAGTATATGACAAGCATTGTAATAAATCTCACAAAAGCTGTCAAGAACATGTTCAGATTTTACACCAAAAATCCAAATAAAATAAGGGAGAAATTATAGTTTTGTTTACTGTTAATCAGTGATATTATAGTATCACTGAGATACTATTATATCTTTTTTAATATTTTGAACTAGTTTTTAGTTTTTTTTTTCTGTTTTAATTTTAGTGTTAAAGTGTTTCTTTATTTAATCAGTTTTTTTATGTCTGTATAATTTTTATTTCAGTTTTAGTATTTAGTACATTAAGTCAGACTAAATAAAATTGAGAAATGGCAACTACAGTAACTGAAATAAAACAAGTTTGATTTACATTTATATTTATTTTTTTTATTTATAAGTTTTATTATATATTATTTCAGTTAACGTTTATTTTAAGTAACAGATTATTATTAATAATATTATTGTTATTATAGTTTAGGTTAACTATAATAACCCTATAATATACTTTGTAAATGTAATATTTAACTTTGGTCGTAAAGCACAAAGGTAGAAGTTAAATATTTTTATTTTTATAATATATTTAGGACCGTCAAGAAAAAATGTTTTCATTACAATTAAGGATATTTTCCCCTAAATTGTCATTAATTTAATGCAAAAAAATTCTCATTCTCATTAATTCGAAAAAAAAAAAAAATTCAGGGTTCACGCAGGCATAAGCCTGGAACTATCAGGATTTTTATTATTTGATTATTATGATTTCCAGCTCATTAAAATCATTATAATATTAAAAAGCCATGGAAATTTCTATAGTGAATTATTTTTTGGTTAAATTAATCTCAGCACTAAAATATGTAATCGGCTAGAAATTGCTTCTTAAGCATGCAATATCTATAAAATGTTATTTATACATTCTGAAAACATTTTAAATCACGCACATGCATTACAGTAATGAGAATATGGCTGAAACGTTCTTAATTGTCATGAAAAATACATAATACTGCAATAAAAAAAAATCTTAATGGCCATTAAACAGGCTTCATTTTCTTCATTCAGTTTTGTTTCATTCATTTTGTTGTGAAATGTGACCTGGACATTTTTGTGTAACTTTGGTATTTTGGTGGAAACTGTGTCAACATGGTAAACATTTTTTCAAGGGAAGTTCTCAGAGTGTTGCATAGTTTCTTAGTCTTCATTTTGCAGTTTTGTTGCAGTATTTACTAATTTGAAGTGGTAGACAATGCAGGTTTCGTAGCCTGACCCGTAGAGCATCCACCTTCAGCTTGTGTCTGCCTCTCTGGTGTTGGTTTACTGTAAATCGTACCCTGTTCGTTACCTAGAACCAGTTATTTCAGAGAGCAGCGGGGTATCAGCCTCTCTCCAGACCTTCATCACCACTGTCTACATCACTCACCCGTTACTACTAGCAACTGCACTTTGCTTTTATAAAGCGCTCTCCACCTTTCCTTCCTGCTTTCTCATCTTTTTAAATGCAGGGGTGTCTTTACAAGCATCGGGATTCATTGTCAGATCATTTCAGCAGGTTGTTTTCTTCTGTTCTTCAGTAAAGTTAACACTAATTGGGATTTTTGAGGTTTTTGGTCTAAGATGCTTTCAGAAACATTAGTTTAAACTAAAGGTAAGTGCTCATGAAGATGTATTTGTTGACAAATTAAATGCAAAATCAATAGGAGAATATCTGAAGGGGATATTCAGTCTTTCTGTGATGTAAGCTTTTTATGTCAGAATTTTAAGAAAATTGGAGCATAATTTTAGTGACATGCATCTTATTTTTTTGTTGTGGATGGACAAAATGTATTATTTCCTCTATTTTATTAAGCTAATAGTAAAACACTAACACTTCAAAAAGAGTACTGGTTTACTCTGTTGACTTTACCTTAAGTTTTCCTTGTTAATAATGCTTTTGTATGATGAGTCTCTTGTAGACCATCTGGATTTAAGTAAATGCTTTATTCATTTATTGAAAGCTTTTCAATCTAATTAACCTCACTTTGTTCAAGAGAGTAAATAATGCAAACAGCATGACATTTTTTGTTTAGTGTTATTTACTCAGTATAATAGATTTTGCATTATTTCTGTGTTAATAAAGATCTTTGTTAGCTTTGTATAACAGTAACACTTCAAAAATAGTAACACTTTTATTCTTTTTGTTGATTTTCTATTAAGTTTTGCTTGTTTATAATGCCTTTGTATTAGAGGTTTAATGAAAAGTATTTGACAAGGTCTCATTTTGTCTGTTGTAGGCCATCTGACCCTGTTCCTCCGACCCCTAGCGCCACTGAACCCAGCTCTCTGCCACGTGTGTCAAGTCGCAGCTACGACCTTCAGGAGAGACGTCGCACGGGCAACATGACGGGGACCGAGCAGGCCAAATACCAGCGGATCCCCACTGATGAGTTTGAGGCACAGACCCTGGCCTCGGCCGACCTGGACGGCATTAAAAGTGAGATTTTAATGCACATACCCAGTAGAGATTCAGCTTTGCATCACAGGATTAAATTACATTTGAAAATATATTCAAATAGCAAACATTTAGTCCATAATGTTACTGTTTTTACTGTATTTTTGATCAAATCAATGCAACCTCGGTAAGCATAAGAAACTTCTTTAAAAAACATTTTAAACCTTTTTAAACCGGTGGTTTTTGGTAGTTCTTGTTTTGACTAATATATTAGCAAAGAAAGCACAATTTCTTGACCTGATCTACTGGGATTGCAACATCTAGAAGTCAAAGTTTCTTTCAGGAGATTTGTACCAAGCATCCTGCTACGCTTCACAGCAAGAGTCTTTTGTGGCCCAGCGGGACAAACCTTTATCAGACTTCAGCTGTATATCAGCGGTTCCTGTAATATACCCCATCAGCTTTCTTGAGCTTTTCTCAACAGTCTTGCTATATGGGCCATTAATTAGTCTGGGAAAAGGCCCATCCGCTGGGATATGCTCGACGACAGGACTTTACACGGTTACTGTCTACCGTTTCTTTTGACCTGTGGATGTCAGAACATCAGTTCATAGACAAAACAGTTAATCAACAGTAAGTTAAACTCTGCTTGACTTTGTTTCATTGCCAGCGATTTCAGCTCGCCCCGACAAGCTATGTGGGAAAAGGCTTTGGCCTGTTTTCTTTATTGCAGTTTGTTCCTACACTCACACTAGTTCGTCAAATCCACCTGAATTCCCTCCATGACCTTTTTACCCTGAATGTCTTTGGCAACTGGCCCATCCTGTAATTTCATCCTGATGAGCGTTGTGTTATGAACAAAGGCAATGACCTCCCTCTCAACCCTGCCAATGAGATTTTACCTAGTGAATGTGGTAATTTAACTGATTTGAGTAATACTGCAGGTACTGTACATGCATCCTGGGAGAAATATACCTTGAATGAAAATCTGAAATACTTTATAGTACAGTGCAGTGTTTTGGAATCTTTAATGTGGTACATAATCAATTAAAGGTTATTTTATATCCGTCAGTTACATTTCTGTTCAAAAGTTTAGGGTTAGTAATAGGTTTTTATGCTTTTATTTAGCAAGTATGCATTAAATTGCTCAAAAATGACAGTAAAGGTATTTATAATGTTACAAAATATTTCTATTTCAAATAAATGCTGTTCTTTGCCTTGAAGAGCATAAGAGACTTATTTTAAAAACAAAAATCTTACACCGCAAACTGTAGCCTGTTATTTAAATAATATACATGTTTTTATTGGTCCATTCTTCCAGGCCATCGTTTTGAAGATGTTCCTGGAGTACGTCGACACCTGGTCAGGAAAAGCACGAAGGGTCAGGTGGTGCACATCAGCAAAGACCACAAAGAGCCCAGCACACGCAGTCGCAAACTGGACCGGACGCCACATGAGGTCAGACACCTGTTCACAGATACTAGTTTCTTGGTTTCTCTAGCTTGGTTACTAGTTAATGTCTGTAATTTGGTTGAAACTAGTACATTAACCCTGTCTGAACACCCAAGGTTCATGGAAAACCTC